TGGCGGGCCGCGGCGGGCGGCGGCGGGACTGAGGCTGCGGCTTTCCAAACGGAAGCGGAATTATTCCAGGCATTTGAGGCAGCTCGCTCGCCTTTCCCGTCCCTCGCTCCCTCCCTCGCGCCGCCCTCCGCCCTGCAAGGAGCTGCTGCGCCTGGGGCCCCGTGCCCCGGGCTGTCCTGGTTGCGAGGATGCTGAGGCCTGCCGCTTGCTGGGGTCTATGCATGCGGGGGCACGTGCATGCAAGGCGGACATGAAGCCTTATCTGGAGTGTGGAAGCTTTCATTTCTCTCCTGGCTTGCATACAACACACACACACACACACACACACACACACACGCGCACACACACACACGCGCACACACACACACGCGCACACACACACACGCGGCCTTGCTGGGGTTCGCTTGAATGGGTCCCTATGTTGCTAGCATTCTCATGTCCTGTGCTCATGAAGAAGTCAACGAACCAAAATGGGCTCTGGTCCCAATAGACTTCTGCAAGAATCTTCAGACTTCGACCCTTTCTCTACACTCAACTGAAGCTGGACATCCAAGATGGCAGAGGCCAGTTTATTCTTGCGAGGCATCCATGGGTCTGGTATCATAATGCTTGTATGAAAAGACCAGATGTAGAAACACAAGCGAGGCAAGCACAACCATGGACTCCTGCAAGACACTCATCCTAACCTATCTATAGCCAAAAGCAATAGAGTTAGTTCCAGACTCTCTTGGCCTGACATTGGAGTCACTCGGGGCAGTTGCAAAGACTCATGCTGGTGATATTTAAGAGACATAGTTTATTGTGCTTCTTTGATCTAAGTTCTGGCTTGGGCTTTTGTGTTTGCCTATCTTTCCCATACTTACAGGGTACCTTGGTAGCTCACCAGTCAGAAGAGTTAATTACTATTTCCACAGCTCCTTCCTTGGTGAGACAGAAATAAATATCTACTCCTTCTTACAAAGCACCACCAACAAACTACAATTCCACTGAAGTCAAATTTGGGGGACCATTGAGGTTGTCAGACTTAGTTACAGAGCCTGGGTAAGGGGTGACCCCAAAGCAGCCACACCACTGCAAAGTCCTACCCTAGCATAGATGGATGAGTTCTCCTAACTATATAAAGGGAGCCCCCTTCAGCTACTGTTCCACAGCCCACTACTCTAGTACCTCCAGAGACCACATGCAATTAGGGCAGAATTACTTATGGGGGTTGCAGGAGGGAGTGGCCAGAATTGAGCCGAGAATCCAATAACTCTCCTGGCTTCCTCCTTCTGTAAGGAAACATCTATAAGAAAATAGGGCAGGTCTCTAGGTGTATTGTGGAGGGCAGGGGGTGGAGGGTAGGGAGTGGGGTGTGTGGGAGGGTTCAAGTACTCACAACTGCTTAGAGGAAGATGATGAGTGTTTTGCTCTGAGGACGATGCTCTACAACACACACACACACACACACACACACACACACACACACACACACACACACACACACGCCATGCTGATAGAAGAGTTTGGACTGAGCTTGAGAAGCTGTGGTCCAGTGGTGGGCACTAGGCTGCTAATCATACTGCATCCTGGCAGGGGTGTCTGTTTTCAACCACAGGCATGTTGATGAGTGACATGCATGCTGATAAGGGGCACATGACTCTTAGCTTACTTCCTATTGCTCAGATAAAGAATAGAATCAGAAACAACTTGGTGGGGAGTGGGGTATTTCACCTCTTAGGTTGTAGTCCATCATGGAAGGAAGTCAAGGGAGGAACTGAAGCAGAGAACATGGAGGAACACTGCTTGTTGGCTAGTTTCTCCTGGCTTGCTCAGTTTGCTTTATTATACAACACAGGAACATCTGCCCAAAGGTGGCACCTCACATAATGGGATGGGTTCTTCATATCAATCATCAATGAAGAAAATGCCTCACAGTCTTGCTTAAGGCCAATCCGATGGGGACATTTTCTCATTTGTGATTCCCTCTTCTCAGATGACTGACTCTAGCTTGTCTCTAGCTTGTGACAGGTTGACCAAAAAAAAAAAAAAAAGCAACACAATATGCCCTCAGAGAGACAGAGGGCCTTATCTGGCATATGTGTGTGTGTGTGGGGGGGAGGTGTGTGTGTGTGTGTGTGTGTGTGTGTGTGTGTGTGTGACTCCAGGCACCCAGAAGTGAGAATAAAGGAGTGTTTTCAAGAGTCTATATGGGCCAGACATGATAGTACACACCCATAATCCTAGCACCCAGGAAGTGAAGGCAGGCAGGAGAAAAGGATTAATCTCACTGGCTAGTGAGATAGTCTCAAAATAAAGGCCATGTGATAGTCTAATCATTGGAAACTCATGGGATCTTGCATCTTTTCCATCCTCACATGAAGTTCCTGCAAGGCCGGCTGTACTTCCATCCAAGGAGATACTGCTACTAAAGCCTTCTTGAAACCATCCACCATTGTGTGTTCTAACCCATACACTGACTAGCAGCAGTTTCTGAGATCCTCAGGGTCCCAGCAGAGAGTGGATTCACTTATGTCTGCTCAAGAGTTGCCATTTCACCTTTTCTTAACATAATAATTTTCCTGGTGCCTCTTACCAAAGATATATAGCAAGACCTTGTTTCCAATAAATAAAGGTGGGGGGAGTAAGATGGCTCAGAGGGTAAAGGTGCTTGCTGCCAAGCCAGACCACCTAAGTTCAATCCCTGGGCTCCACAAAGTAGAAGGTCCTTTGCTTTCTACATAAGCACCATGAGGCTTGTACGCAACTAACTGGTCCACAATTAAATCTTAAAATGCATTAAGTAATAAAAAATAAAAGAGTAAGCTACAAACAGACCCAAAAGCATAATAAGTACATAAAATAACAAAAAAGTCTTTGTAGGGTGTAAAATATAGAAATCAAATTAAAATAAGCAAAAGAAGTCTTTCTACTGGGAGGGGAGTAGACAGTATTGAATGTCTTCAGGTCCAGCCACTCCTTGTGAAGAAGTAAAAGAAAACATTAGACATTAGGGTTTGGCAAATGGAGGATGGTGCAGTATAACCCCTGGGAGAATACTGGAAAAGTAAGATTTTAAGATAATGGAGTGAAAATTGGCATCTTGGAGCTTGGTTCAGACAGAGTTCATAAATTGTGTGTGCAATCTTTACTTGTCACATAGTTGTCAATTTTACTTTTACAGTGTTTTCCTTTTAACAAGATCATATTTCTTCAAAGCTAAGGATGAAGGCTAGCTAGTCATCTCAAAACAGGTTACAGTAAAACTCAAAAGGCTCATGCCAGGGGAAGGTTTCCCTACAAGTGAATGTTACAGATTGAACAATGTCCCCTCAGGGAACCCTACTTGGAAATAGGATTATTGAAGACACAGTTAGAATGACCTCAGACCCTTTTTGGACTCTAAATTACTAGTGGTGGTCTTTGAAGGCCATTCTGCCAGGGAGCATATCCCTGAAGTACGGTGGCCAGCCAATCCAAGAAGGCTGATGTCTTTATGAGACGAGGAACATCTGGACACAGGCAAGCACAGAGGGGACATGATAGGAAGCAGATGGTCACAAGCCAAGGAGTGCTTGGCAGAGGCATAGAAGTGTCCTGACATAGAATCTCCAGGCATCCTGGCTCAACAGACACCAGGTTTTGGACTTCCAGTGTCTACATCCAAGGAAAGTTGATCTCTATTGCTCTAAGCCACCAAGTTCTTGGTCCTTTATGTTAGCAGTGCCAGGAAGCTAACGCACATCTCCGAGTCATGTGACTGTAACCTGGGATGAGCATTTTACAAGCACTCTGGGTCCCAATCTGTAACCAAAAGTTGATAACCACAGTGACATACATGGGGAGGGAGCAGAAGAGCCTGCAAGAGTCTTTTGGGAAGCTCTCTGATCATGGATAAGGAGATGTGCTTCCAGGATGAAGGCCATGTGTCTGATAAGAATCTGGAAAGTGGGGCACGGGCACAGTTCTTAGGTGAGGGGTCATCTATATATCCTCCTTAGGAACTCTGGGGTCTTAGCAGGAGCCTTTGAAGGCCAATCTTCTGGCATGTCCTCTGAAGAATAATGAGTCCAGGAAGACCGGTGTCCTTTTGAGGAAAGGAACATCTGAGTACAGGCATATCCTGGAGTTGTTAGGGAGGTTATAAAAACCTTGCTGTGCACACTCAAGTACTCTGGGATTGTAGTGGTGGCCTTCTAAGGCCAGTCTGCCAGTGATCATGAGAAGCATGCAGAAAGAGGATGGGAGGCCTCAAGCATGTTTTAGAACATGGTAGACTGAGGGTGGAATGAATTTTCTTTTGTTTTCTGAGACAGGGGCTCACTGTGTAGCCCTGACTAGCCTAGAACTCACTGTAGTGACCAGGCTGGCCTCCAACCCACAGAGATCCATCTGCCTCTGCCTCTCAAGTGCTGGGATTAAAGGTACACAACACCACATCCAGCCATAGGTGAGATATCTTCGAGAGTTACATGGATGCACTTAGTGATATCCTTTAGGAGTCTCGCAATGAATATAGACATACAGAGGGATTTCTTTATTGTGGGAATTCATTTCGCCAATAGCTTTGGGGTACCAGACTTAGGGTGTGGCTTCTTGTCTGTGGACTTGACTGCTTAAAAGAAGAAAGAGGAGGTCATGTGCTCGATTGGGTTGTGGAGATTGGGTCAAGAAGTGTGAAACAGTGTGTGGTTGGTTCCTAGCTCCTTTGGACCAAATGAAAGGACTCTGCAACTGGTTATACCTTGTCCTGTATCAGTGAGTCTATTTCCCCATAGCACTCCTTAATAAATTTATATAAATATATATCTTTGTGGTTCTCAATATGTATATATATATATATATATATATATATATATATATATATTTTCCCCTGAGTAAAATAGCTGACTACCAGCTACAAAGACAAATCTCTAAAGTCAGTAGCTGAGACATAAATCATCCAGTGGATGACTAGAGAACATGGTTAAGAACAGTAGCAGCAGCTAAACTTGTGTGTGTATGAATACATGTTGTGAATGTGTAAATGCACATGTGTTTGTGAGTAAGTGTTGTAGAACATGGTTATCCAAGCGAAGCAGGTGTGATCTTCATCAGATCAGCTGTGCTTCTTTTCAAATACCCGTCACAAATGGGCCTGTGAACTGTTGACATTCCCTCATAGGAATGGGAGGGGAGGGTCACTGGAGTCTCACCTAATAGTCCAGCCACTCTTCCCAGCCATTTGTTTGCAATCCTGTCTAATGGCACATGGTCTCTGGCTGGGGAAGCGATAGAGTATATAGACTAGGAAAGATTAACAGAAAGGGACCTTAGGTGTGCACTATGGGAAGCCATCGTCCTTCCTAGGTACAGACTTTACAGTGGTTGCTTTAAGTGCCCCACGCTCCTGCCCTGTAAGGAAGCCCCATGAACTCATTGGTTTCCCTGGGTGAACTTTGGTTTTTCCTTGACCTTATAATGAGTGGGTAGATGTTTACATCTGTTCTGGAAGAAAAAAATCTCATTACAGTTCACACACAACTGCACATTTGAGTACATGGAAGCCAGAGAAGGACAGCATAATCCACTTTGGTTTTTTGTTGTTATTTTTGAGACAGTGGCTCTCATTGATCTGGAGTTGTCATTTTGGCTAGGCTGGCTGGTCAGTGAGTCCCAGGGAATTACATGTATGTCTCTATCTCCCCAGTGCTGGGATTCAAGCCCCAAGCACCTAGCTTTTAAGGACAAAAGGATTCAGGTTGAGTAGCTTTACAATTGGATCTCACACTGTGGCATGGACTATCATCCCCAATCTCTCCTCTGCCACTTCCCAGATCAATGTGTCTTGGAACCAAGATTTCTCCGCTATGGTAGTAACTGATTCCTTTCACACCCCATCTCCAGACTTGTGTGGCCAGCAGGAAAAAGAGTGCCTGCACCAGTGTTTGCTGAAGAGATACTAACACTATTAAGAGCTGAGACATTTCCTTTCATGGAGGAAGGTCAGGAGTGTGTGAAATGGAACTAAATCTGAAGGTGGCTCTTTGGGAAACCCTGAAGGGTGGGCTTGAAGCATTGCTGGCTAGTGGGCAAGGAAGGGGCTGGACAGCGGGTAATCAGAGAAAGATGACCCCAGGGCAGTTTGCACACAAGCCATTACCCAAGGGACAGTCCTGTAAGGAGAGCACCACCTGACCTGATGTCTGCCTATGTCTCCCATTACAGGAAACTGCTCCTCTGACCTGAAACTCTGTGGGTCCTTTTTTGGCTCTGCTGTTGGGACTGAGCCACTGAATCCAATTACAAAGTTAAATGCTGGCTGTTCCCATTTTAAAGTGTTTTTAAGATTTATTTATTTTTATATAATGTATATGAGGGTTTTCCTGAATGTATGTTTGTACACCATATGCATATCAGGTGCACATGATGCCAGAAGGCTTCGAATCCCCTGGAACTGCAATTACAGATAGTTTTGAGCCACCATATGGGTGCTGGAATCAAACCCAGATCCTCTGCAAAAGCAGCAAGTGTCCTTAACCTCTGAGCTTCCTCTCCAGCCCTGTGATTCCCATTCAAAAACTATATACAGCCAGAACCCTTGAGACAGGCAGGTGTGGTGGGGGGACCAGCCCCATGTCACAGATGGTGACATCAAGGCACAACAAGTTTTTGGGGCATCCTGGGAGCAGCACTGAGCAGGAGCTAGAATCCTAATCTAGCTACCTCTCTCTCGGGGACTGTGTTTAGAAAGGATATACTTATTGAACTGCTGGATTACTTCAAAATTATTCTCCTAAGGTCTTATTTACACATGCATGCATGTGAGTGCTACACACACCCATATCCGTGCACACATCAAATTACTATTATTCTAGGATTCGGAGGGGACTGGTCATGTGCCACCACTGCTCTTGGCTCCAGTGTGACACAGGACCATGAGAGCTTTTCCAATGACTAATGTCCCGCCTCCCTCCTGGAATGCCTTGACCTTCTACAAGTCTCCCTAAAAGCCTGCAAAAGTCACCTCTCCTCACACTCACCCCAAACCCTCTCTCAGTTCCTTTCTTGCATATCCCTCTTTGTTCTTTAGCACTGGATGTAATCCTTTCTTTAAAATGTATTTATTTATCATTGTGTGTACCTGTGTGTAGGTGAGTACATACAGCTATGCTCTCACTCTGGCATGCCACTGTCTTCTCTAATGCTTTCTTTCAGCCTTACTCCCTTGAAATAGGATCCGTCACTGAACTTGAAATTTGCCCTTTTGGCTAGGCCAGTTGGGCAGTGAGTCTGTCTCTACCCCACAAGTGCAACCATGCCTGGCTTTTACATAGGTGCTGGGAATATAAACCCAGGTCCCCATGCTTATATAGCAAGCATTCTTACCTGCTGAGCCATCTCTCCAGCACCCTTCTCATACCACACACACTATTTTTTGAGACAGGGTCTTATGTATCCAGGCTGGCCTGAAACTCACCATATGGCTGAGGCTGACTCTGAACTCCAGATCCTCATGCTTCCAGCTCCCAGGTATTGAGAAGACAGGTATGGGCCATCATGCCAGGCTAGGATGGAGGCATGATTTCATGACACCCACATCCTAACCTAGGTTCACAACTCCAGCAGTATGTGAGATTAAAAAAGAAAAAAAAAAAGGCATCTTCCTAGCCTAGGGAGCATAGTAGTAACATGACCTTGTCCTCAACAAAGTTCATGCTATAGAACAGCACAGTTGGTGGGTGGGTGGCAGACAAAAAAAAAAAAGTATAGCATCGAGTTTTAAGTGAGTTCAGGATTTATGTCAGGCTACATCTATAGCTATCCCAGGGAGCATGCAGCTTGTGGGCCTTGGGTTGGACTTTGGAGAGTTGCAGCAGAGCTAGTAACTTGACAGTTTTGGACTTCTATTTGGATGTTGGAACACACACACACACACACACACACAGAGAGAGAGAGAGAGAGAGAGAGAGAGAGAGAGAGAGAGAGAGAGAGAGAGAGAGAGAGAGAAAGCACAAAATACTGGATCAAGTGGCAGCCTGGACTGTGTTCCCAGGTTGACCTTGATGGGGTGAGTACCAGCATGTTTTTGTGAGGGCTGGTGATGGAAACCTATCTGAAACAGGAAGGGAAAGTGCAGGTAACACAAGGCAGGAAGCTGGAGGGGGTGCAGAGTAGGGCTGTACAGCCTGGAGATCTAAGCCCCAGACTCCTGAGGCCACAGCTGGGTTGGGTCGCTAGAGAGATGGCCATGACTGATGGTAATTAGTTGAGTGGCTGAGCCTCTTTTGTCTTGGGCTCATCCTCTGAGAATTCAGACAATGCTTACTCAGGATTGAAAGTTTCAAGACTAGACAGGAAGCTATGAGGCAGAGTTTATAGCACCCAACAGGTGCGGCCAGCTGAATTTGCAGTGACTGTCATGCTAGAGGGGGGTCTAGGGGCTGCCCTGGTCAACTGTGTTGTCATGGTTTTTGCATTCCTTCATTCCTTTTTTGTGATGCTGAGGGTCAAACCCAGAACATTATGTTTTCTTTTTCTTCCCCCTTTCTTCCTTTATGTCTTCCTCTGCTCCCCCTCATTCTCCCTATTCTGCAGAAATGAGCTGGAAGAAGGCTTGGGATGGTGGTCTGCAGCTAACAGATGTAGAAAGGCTGAGTCTGTCTGCCACTCAGGACCACTGAGAAGGCAGCTGAGCTCCAGAAGATTCCCAAACAACACCAGTCAAGCTTTTCCAAGGTGGCTGTCCCTGTCTCTTCACCTCATAGGTCAGACCTACAAAGCACTGATGACTACGAACATTTCCCATTGACAACCAATGAGAAAAGCAGATCCCTTTTGCAACTGTGGATCAGAGCTTTCTCATGATGCAGGGGGATTGAATGGAATGGGGAATGCTCCCAAGACTGACTGCTTAATGTCCCTATGTGGCCATCTAGGTGCATTATAATTTACATTCTATACATTTACATGTGCTGAGGTTAAGAATGAAGGCAAAACAAACTTGATCTTTAAAGATTGTGAACGGAAGAAAGCAGCCAGCTCTGTGCACAAGGGTGTGTACCTGGTGAATAATTGGAATTCAAAACCAGCCTTCTCCAGGCAAGAAAATGAGAGGACCTGGCAGGTTGGGTAAGAATGGCCTTGTCCCTCCCCTATGATGGCATTGAAAATACCTTTCTTTGTTGAGAGAACACACCTGAGCCAAGCTCTCTCCACCTCTCCCACTGGAATCCAGGTAAATCCTTCCAGGTGCCTAGTGTAATGAGAGGTCCCATGCTAATTTCCAGACTCCTGTACGAAATCAAGGCTTTGTACAGGTTCTTTCACCAGGAATAAAGAGATGAAATGAACGCTGCCCTCCGAGGGGCCAGGCAAGCCCACATGAATATGTTTTGATTCCCGAGACACAAAACCATTTATTTGAGGGTTCATTTCAGTATTTAGAGCCATGCACATATAACACGTTTCCATCAACATGAATAGCTACCAATTGTTGCAGCAGATTAATCTTTTACAAGCTTGTCAGCAGTGAGGTGAGGTGAAATAGGAGACTTTGCCCCACATGAACCTTCCGAGGACAATCAGTTCCCACATTGGATCTTGCCCACATCCATCAACCGCCACTTTCTCTATTTGTGCGATGGCGCCAGCTGCCCCTGCCACCTCTGCCCAGCTGAGGTGGTTTCTCTGATCAGCCACCTGGGTGGGGCACGCTGCCATTCTCAGTTTGGAAGGAGAAGCCTATCAATCTGCTGCCTGGGAAGAGAGACATCACTGAATTGTCATTTGCCCCCGCTCCCCAGCACAAAAAAAAAAAATCAGTTGCATCGCAGCTCATCAGAGTTGGCATCACCTGCCACTTCCTTTCTCAGTGGTAATTAACATGCTGCAGCTCGCCATTGATTGATTCCAAGCAGCCGGATGCTGCCAACAAGAAGGTCTAAATGAAATGGTACAACCTGATAGGATTTTTCACAGTTTTAGCAACAGGAACTGATTTTTATTGCCAGTCTACAGTAGTCAGAGAGAGAAGCATCAGGGAGAGAAGCTGATTTTGCTCTTTATGCTTGTCTTTGGGGATGGCAGTGAGTTCCTGACCTGTGTATCTCTGGAAATGAAGAAGAGAACAAATCTCTTTTGCGTAGCCTAGCACCCAGCACCCCATCAGCACTCAGAGAAGGCTGAATGAGTAGATCAATAGATGGACAGTTGGAGAGACCACACTTAAGAACAAGTCTTGATCCAGCATGGATAAAATTCTGAGCTTGTGACTATCAAAACCTGTTTGGCTTGATTTTGACACCGTGGGAGGCTGGCTGTGAAATATGACCCAAGGCTGAATCTTGATCTCAGTTTCTTCTTGACTTTCTACCCTGGGGCTCTTCTGTAGAGCAGGGCCAAATCCTTTTCCATTCCTGCTCCATTACACAGAGAAACTGTCTTCAAGATGTGCCTTGTGCATCTTGAGAGTCTAGAACATTCTCCATTGAAAGGAATCAAACCCCTTTAAGTAGCCCAGAAACCACAGTATAATAACCCAAGTATGACCAAGATTTCCTTCTCTCTTGCCCATTTTGAGAGAATCCCTTTTAATATAACTAGTTAAGAGATGTGCCAATTCTTTTTCACAATGACACCCTAGGTACCCTAACTCAAATCCTCTGTTAAACACATGCAGATATCAGACAGTGTGCTTTCATCTGACTGGAAATGAAAACTGGAGTCACACATCTCTTTCTCAAAATGAGCTCATTTGTATGTATCCAATATTCTTCTCAATGCCTGGGGGCTGAAAAATATTTTTTGAGAAAAGGCCGACTATATCACCTTGGCTGACATGGGACTCATTATGTAAATCAGGCTGTCTTTGAACTCAAAGAGTTCCACCTGCCTCTGCCTCCTGAATTCTGGAATTAAAGGTATGCACCACTATGCATGGCTAAAAATATTATTTTGGAGATCTCCATACATCTTTATTACTATGCAAATCACTGCCTCAAACAAACTTCTCCACATTATGTTATGGTAATATCTTTGCTTTGAAAGGTCCTCCCCAAATGATAGCCTAGACGAATCAGAATGATGGGGAATCACAAGACCCATGTCCACTAAATATGCAAATAAATAAAAATAAATAGTTAAAATTGGAAGCATTTGTAGGTTAGTAGGTAGATAGGAAAATGCTCCCACTGTTCCCTAGTATTAGAACTGAATACACTGGGAGACTTGATTCTAGAAAATAAAAATAAAACAGAAAAAAAGAAAGGAGAAACTGAGGGAGTAAAGGCAACTGTTGGACTTCAATGTCCTATAGAGGGTTGCACTTAACTACTCCCCCAAACACTGACTGACTGGGGACATCTATATGCATCTAGATGTGGCTTGTCCCCAGCCAGGTTGTACCACACAGACACCTTCTCAGATGGAAGTAATTAATGAGCCAACTTAGATTGAGAAAACTCCAGTCACCAGTTGCAGCCAACAGCTACAAAGCACCTTTGTCTAAAGAAACATTTAAATACTCATGGCTATGAGTGGCCAGATACACACCCAAGAGTCCTTCAGTGTCTTTCATCACTAGCAGGTTAAATCCATAAAAAGAGAACAATATCTTATGGCAAACACATCAACACTCTAACTCTTGTCTTCTTTTGTCCCTGTTTGCATTGTCCAAATATTCAAGGAAGCCCAACAACATGTTGACATGGCCACTCCATCCACAAACATTTTTTTTTTTTTGCAAATTTCAAAGGTCTCTCCCCACCCCATACACACACACACACACACACACACACACACACACACACTCATGACTCAATTTGGAGTTCAATAAGCGTGGGCGCTGCCCTCAGTTCTACCTGGAAGTCAGAAGTGGTTTTGTCTTTGTTTCAAAGAGGTCATGCACTTAAGATGACCGTAGGTGACCATAGAAAAGCCGCCTCCCCTGGTACCGCAGTGTTTTTTTTTTGTTTGTTTGTTTGTTTTGTTTTGTTTTGTTTTTTGTAGCAGTGTCAGCTTACCAGTGTTTTATCAACAAATGAAAGCTTCCCTTTCTGCCATCACCAAAGCTCCCTCAAAAAGCACTGTAAAACCGCTCATTTTCTAAAAGCACTTATTATGGGCTAGAAGCAGAGCATTGTGGGAACAAGAGGCTTTAAAGGTAGCAGATTTGGTGAAAACCAAAGAATCCTGCTGGCATGAACTTAAAGTTTTATTTCCTTTCTTCTTCTTTTTTTTTAAATTAACTCTCATTGCTTATGTATATTATATTAAGGCTTATAAATATACCTGGTAAATTAAATTCACCCTGGATTGAATTAACACCTGCTATATGAGTTATTGGCTTTATTTAATCAGTAATCTCAGGCTTTCTCTGCTTTCTCTGGAAACACAATTTAAATATTAAGCTAATCTTTAAACTGCTGCTGCTGTGTCCTGACATTTGGAAACTGGTCAGCCATGCAAAAAAGACAAATATGGGCGTATTAATGAAAAGGCATTTCTTAAAAGTCTTAAAAACATGTAACTCAATGAATTATAAAGAAAAATGACAAAGGCAGCTGGGAGGTCAAGCCTGTGTGACTTTCCAGGGAGCAAACAATGCTGGTCGTCTGCCAAGATCACCTGCACTCTCAGGACTAGCTGTGTGAACTGCCAAGTTCAAGGGCCTTTGTCATTTTTTCAAGAAAGACTTTGGGAAAAATCTTGGGAAGCCATAACAGATATAAGACCTACAAGAGATGTTTGGTTTTTTTGAGACAGGGTTTTCTTGTGTAACACAGGATGGCCTGGAACTCACAGAAATCCTCCTGCCTCAGCTTTCTTCAGCAGGGATTACAGATGTGAACTACCATATGGAGCTCATAGAGAGGCATTTAATTTTCTTTCTTTCTTTCTTTTTTTTAAGCAGTAAGTTCCTGGGTGAGAAAGTGTGGTGTTCTTGGCTCCCTGGCTTCAGTGTGGGGGGAGGGCACCTCAAGTCCTGCTGAGCTGACAGCCTTTGGAGAGAACGAAGTTTTCAAAGTGTTGGTCTTGGGTTCTTTCTTTGACACGCTGTTCCTCTAGGGAATCCACAAGCTTGTTTCTTTGCTCAATCACCTGCATCATCTCCTTGAATATTTCTTTCTCCTCCTTTAGATCATTCTCATCTTTCTGGCCCTCTAAAGAAAGGAAGAAGAAAAAACAATGCTCCCGTAAGATTGGGTCCAGGGGAATTCTTAGCATGGGAGTTCACAATTGTTCTGGGCTTGATTACAAGGAAGTGAATTTAACGCTGGGGAGCTGCCCTTAAAGCCACAGAGGAGAAAGGTGAATGCTCTGTGCTGGAGTCAGCTCAGATTTCACATGTGTGCATTCGTGTGTGTGTGTGTGTGTGTGTGTGTGTGTGTGTGTGTGTGTGTATGCTCGCGTGCACATGCACGCATGTGGATTCATGTGTGTGCATTCCTCTGTGTGTGTGCATTCGTGTGTGCATGTGTTTGTGCATATGTGTGTAAATGAGTGTGTGGTGGGGAAGAGGCATCTGAGAGAAAGAGAACTAATGCAGCCATACCCTGTCGAGCCTCAAACCTCTTTCCCCTCCAAGGAAAACACCAAACAGAACGCTTTCCTAATCACATCTGAGCCACAGCAAACCAAAGTGCCCGCATCAGGGGCCCCTACATCAATGAGAGCAACACTTCTGCCATTTGTATATAATGATAAATTGTATTTTTGTTTTGTTTTAAACATTAAGTGTGTCTGTGTGCACCATTTTCTCTATCCCAGACTGGCGTCAAACTTGTTTTTAGCTGAGACTGGTCTTGAAATCCTGATTCTCCTGCTTCCACCTTTAAAGTACTGGAATTATAGGCATGCACCACCCATGCATGTGTGTGGAGGTCTAAGGACAACTTTCAGGAGTTGGTTCTTGGGTTCCACCTTGTTCTAGGCAAGGTCCCTCTTGTTCTTTGCTTCTGGGGTTACAGGCACGCCCTACCATGGCTGCCTTGCATACCTTTCTTAATAATGCTATATAGTGCAGTCCTATAGGGTTTCTTAGAAACAGAAATGGCTCAGGAGATGAAGGTACTTGCTATTAAGTCTAATGACCCGGATTCAATTCCTAGGACCCACATAGTGGAAGGAGAGAACAAACTCTCACAAATTGTCCTCTGACCTCCACAAATGTGCTGTGGCATGCCCCACCCCCCATGGATAAATAAAAGTGTAGTTTTCTAAAAAGAAAGAAATAGTCTGGGCTGGGTATATGGTGCTTGTCTGTGATTCCAGTACTTGGGAGGTTGGGGAAGGCTGCAATTTAAGGCAGCTACAGAGGGAGACCTTGAATTACAGAGAGAGAGAGAGAGAGAGAGAGAGAGAGAGAGAGAGAGAGGAGCTTGTAAATTACTTCCATGGGTGGGACATGAGTTTGTGATCTCCTGCTAAACTGGAGCCTAACTCTCACCTTGAGCTCAATATTTCTCTTCCCTGAGACTTGGTTTTCAAATCTTAAAATGGGAATAAAATAGTTAACCAAAAATGATGATTCTCAGTACCAGGTAACCCAGTGAGGCTGGGATAAAGCTGGCTCTATGAGATCTAGAAAACCTGTAAGATGCCAGTGTAAGAAAGTCATCATAGACCAGGCCCACAATCCCACAAACACACCTCAGAGTGAGACTCTTATGGCTGGAGCCAATGAATTCATAAAGCATTGTGGGACATTTGTCTCTCTCTTATGGCTGGAGCCAATGAATTCATAAAGCATTGTGGGACATTTGTCTCACGCACAGTGCCCCTGTCACAGTCCCAGCCCATGCCACCAGTAATTATCCTTACTACCATTTCTAGTGCCCAGCAGAGCCAGGTCTGGCTTCTCTGTGGCTCCCAACAACTTTTATGGTCCTCATGTTCTGTGATAACTGATCTGGCTATTGATGTCCCCGTTGAGATCACAATGGGGAGGGGCTGGTTTTTGCCATGTGCCGAACCTGTACTACCTTTTCCATAAATATTTGCTAAGTGAAAGGATAGCTAAGTAAATAGGACACCACTGTGCTTGCCGGGCATGGTGGCACATACCCAGAAACCTAGCAGGTGAGAGGCTGAGTGATATGGTTTTAATAGGAAAATCTCCCCCACAGGCTCGTGTGTTCAACACTTGGACCCTACCTGGTGGCATTGCTTTGGAAGATTTTCTGATCTTTTGGGAGGTGGGGCCTCACTGGAGGAACTGGGTCATTGATGGGAGAGGGATGAGATTTATAGTCTTGCCCTGCTTTCTGTCCCAATTCTGCTTCCTGCTCTGCTAAGAGCAGACAGATGCTGCATGCTCCTCCCACCATAGACCCACCAGTTATCATCCTTCCAGCTGTGAGGGACCTTGCTCCCTCAAAATGTGAGACAAAACAAACCTCTTCAGGTATTTGGTCACAGCTGTGAGAAAAGTTATGAATATACAGAGTCAAGAAGACCAGGTGTTCAAGGCCAGTTTGGACTACACAAGACTCCACCTTAATGAAAATGCATTTAAAAATTAAATAAATTGCTTTATTCCTATCAACACATGGGATGAAGGAGATGTAGCCCTCACAAGGGAATAACACCAACTGAGACCTCCTGGGCTTCAGGGGAGGTCAAGGAACAGGCTGGCTTTGTGCTCTGTTTCTCAAACTGGTGGCCGCACAGGTGGGATGGGGTCTTCACTCATATCTGTAGGGTGCCTTGCTCAAATGTCCTGGGGTGTGTGTGTCTTCAGCAGGGACCCCCAAATGTGCCCCATACTCACCATCCTTGAGCATTTTCTGTCGTAGTTTCTGCTCCAGTCTGCTCTGCTGATCTTCTAATTCTAGTTCTTGGGCCCTGAGTACAAGAATATGTTCCAACCATCAATAAGGGAATATGTGGAAATGGGAGTAGAGTTACTCATGGACAGTGGCTGGCACAGTCTTTTTCCCCATTAAAACTGACATCTTCTAATATCTCTAAATAGAAGGCATTGCTACTGCTGGGACCGCTAGAGGTGCCTAGAAAGATGACTGAGAGGTGCTGGATTTGAGAGATGATGAGACAGCTGGAGGGGGTGATGCTGGAGATCATCACACTGTTCTTTAGGGCTTGCCTCTGTGGGGACCAGCAGAGCAGGGCGTGGAGCTGAGTTCTCTTTGACAGACAACTGAGGACTTGACTTTTCAGAGCCTGGCGATGTCTCAGGCATTCCTCGTTGTGTAGCTCCCCAGATGCTGGCCCATGCATTATTGGTTGGACTCCTAAATGCCACTCTGGAATTCACCAGAGAGACAAGGACCCAGACAGATGTGGTGATGCCAAGAGGTGATAGTCAGAGTTACATGATCCTCAAGAAAAGCCTGTAGAGAAAGAAAAGGGTTGAGGGGAGAAGTGCTAAATGGCCCCCAAGGGTTGAAGGGCACAGCAGCATATGCACCCTCACAAAGACTAGCGGGTGAGGGCCACTGCTCCAGGACCACAAAGAGAAGACCAAGGATTGAGATTGGGCCCTTCAGCTTCTCCTATAAGGACATTCTCCTTCCAGACCCGACCTATAGTTGCATGAGTGGCTGTGACAGTGTTGAGTCACTTTATTCTACCTCATCGCTGCCATTAGTTTTCATATTTATTTTTTTTCTTTGTTTTTGAGTAAGGGTTTCATGTACTGCAGGCTGGCCTCAAACTTGCTATGTCACCCTGAATCTCTGCTCTCCCTGCCACCCCTTCTACCCACCCTGTGTACACTGCTGGTATTACACATGTGTGCCACTACCCCAGTAGTGCTGGGGATTGAACCCAGGGCTTTCTGCACCCTAGGCAAGCACTCTTAACAGTTGAGCTACATCTCCAGCCCTACTACTACTTTTACTTCTAAAGTTGGGGGCTGGAGAGATGGCTCAGCTGTTAAGAGCACTGCCTGCCCTTCCAAAGGTCCTGAGTTCAATTCCCAGCAACCACGTGTTGGCTCACAACCATCTGTAATGAGACCTGGTGCTCTCTTCTGGCCTACAGGCATACATGCAGGCAGAACACTGTATACATCACAAATAAATACATCTTAAAAAAAATGTTGTCTGGGCTGAAGTCCCACCTTATTAATGACAACTGGACCCTCTGCAGGAGCTCAGAGGTAGAACTCAGAGGTGGTGACAGCTCTCAGAGAGTCTCTGAGAGAAGCTTAATGACTGTTGTCTGGGCTGAAGTCCCACCTTATTAATGACAACTGGATCCTCTGCAGGAGCTCAGAGGTAGAGCTCAGAGGTGGTGACAGCTCTCAGAGAGTCTCTGAGAGAAGCTTAATGACAAGGAGGCTTCTATAGGATCACCTTCAATGCCACGTTGAAGACCTGTTATTTCTGGGTGGCTCCCAGCCAATGACTAAGCATCATAGAGGTGTGAGACCTGGCAAGTCCTTCTAAACATGGAGCTCTCTGATGGGCTGTCTCCACTCTGATGTCTGCCTCAGTAGAGACTCAGAGCTATTCACACCAGGACTCCTCCTGCCAAGTCTCTGTCCTGTGTTTTTACAAGGCATCAGAACTGCAGTAGGGGCCCAAGACTCTACAACTACCTTGTCTTCTTTCTCTTTATCCTTCACAGGTGTCATCCTCATGTAATCTTACATACCACTCATTCCGTCTTCCCAAAGGGTCTGACCTGACATGCAAATCTAAGACATCACTCCTTGTTCATCCTCCAACCAAAACCTCCAACATGCCTCTGTCCAGTGCACATACCCTGGTTGTCCTATTTGACCTCTTATGGAGGAGAAAGTCCTTGGCCAGTCCTGTCTAGTGAAGCTTGCTTCTGGCTCTGGCCTGCAGCCTCAGGTGGTCTCCCTTCTCCCCAAGACAGACTCTTGCATCCTTCATGAAACTTTTTTTTTAAAGATTTATTTATTTATTTACTTATTAATTATATACAGTGTTCTGCCTACATGTATGTCTGCACACCAGAAGAGGGCACCAGACCTCATTATAGGTGGTTGTGAGCCACCATGTGGTTGCTGGGAATTGAACTCAGGACCTCTGGAAGAGCAGCCAGTGCTCTTAACCGCTGACCCATCTCTCCAGCCCATTCATGAAACTCTTGATGGATTTTCTACTGCCATGTGGTCACTTCTCTGCCCTGCCCCTTCAACTTGTGAAGTGCTGGGGTTCTTGCCTTTCACTACCACGCCTGGCTATGGCCTATTTCTATAGAAACCAGCTGAGTTCCCAGTACAAAGATGTTTTTGATAAATTTCTGTTGAAAGGACTTTATGATTCAGATCTAACTCCAATGCAGACCATATGGCTGCATATAAGGCAGATATAGACACACATTATTTAATTCCTCTGAGGCTCATTATACTCATCAAAAAAAAAAAAAAAAGTCCAGAAGAAGCAAATGATTACTAGAGAGGATCCCCCCTTTTCCATTCCATGCAGATGGAGAGTAGTGAGTGTAACTCCTGGCCTCCTCCTCCAACCCCTCCCATCCTAATTCTCAGGTAGATTTTGGAAAAATAGATAAAGCATGTTCACCTAGCTTATCCTTCTCTCCCAGGCTCAGTCTATCTTCAACAAGCATGTGTTTGTTTTCAAGTCCCCTAGGCTTTGCTAGCTTTAGGCTGCTGGCTTCTTGTGGGTGGGAGGAGGGGCTGCTCTGTGTATTATAGGAAGAAAGCTTAGCATCCTTGGCCTGTATTCACTAGCCTTTAGTTGGAGCCCCACATGTGACAATCAAACACATCTTCCTGGCCTTTGCATAAGTAGCCTCTGGAGATATTGCCTCCCTCTCCACCCTTGAAACCTAAGGTCTAGGATAAAGCCTTTCCCCTAAGGATCAAGTAGGTCCACTTCCTTTTTTCATGAGGTAGATATATCCAATTGTTAGGTTTGGCTAAGTGTCATATGGGTTATTCAACCCATTCAGAAGACATGTCCACATCCTAAGTTCTGGAAATAGTGACTGTGATGTTACTTTACAAGGGGTCTTTGCAGACATGGTTAGGGACCTTGAGATGGCTAAATTCTAGATTCTATCAGCGAGCCCTCAGCCCAGTGAGACTTTCAAAGAGACAGAGGAGGTAACACAGACACACAGAGAATGCCATGTGGAGATGGAGTGACACAGCCACTACCAAAGAATACCTGGAGCCATAAGAAGTGGAAGAGGCAAGGAGGCATCCCTGAGAGTGTCTGGGAGAATGAGGCTCCCTTGGCACCTTCATGTGGACTTCTGCCTTCCAGACTGGGGAAAACGTTTCTGTAGTTGTGAGTCATCGTCTTCTTGTTAATAGTTTGTCAGGAGCCCTAAAAAGCTAATTAGCAAGCCAGCCTGGGTTTTCATCCTCAGCTAATTAGTCACCTATTTCTTGCCTGGTTCCTAACCTGGGCAGGGAAGAGTGGACCCTCTCTCTAAAGCTCCCCAGACGACCACTCAGCGTTGGAGTAAAAGTAAAACCAACATATAAATGAAAACTCCTACGGAGTTCTGGAGCTTAGTGGTTTACTCTCAGTACTGTTTTCTCTCTGTCCGGAATGCTGGCAGGTACAGCATCCTTTGTCTGTTTCAGGATTGTGTGTTTGATCATCTGACCAGGCCACCAGCCCTTTGTCTAAGAAGACACACAGACAGATCCCAGACAGCCTGTGGTCAGCCCTTCTTTCATTAAAGCTGCCAGGAAGTGGTCAGGCAGATTTCCCATGGTTCACATACAGGCCAAACACAGCTTCCCCACTGATGGTGTGTGACTGGGGACCAGGAATGGGCTGGCTGGCTGCTTGCTAGCTCCTTACCTGCTTCTAAAAACTCAGAAGAGATCTCGGGCCACTAAAGAGTCTTTCCACTAATGCCAGCATGATATGCAAGACACAAAACACCAATTTGCCTCAATCACTGTTCCGTATGCACAAAGAAGAAAAACCCTGGGACTCCAGCCAAGGACGGTGAGCCACCCGCTCCTGGTACCAGGCTGTTAGCACTCACTGTTATCTGTGTTGCCTTACTTACATGATCAGTAGCTCCGACTCATATCGCATTAATTTATTCTTCTCCAGAACCAGCTTAAACCATTCCTGCAAAAGCTGGGCTTCGTCCTGTGTCCCTGAATCTGCTTAAGAAATCAATGACAAATAGGTTAGATTGGCATTTCTCGCCCCATGATCAAACTGCTTCCGAGCCACTTTAGCAGGCCATGTTTGTGGCAAGCAGGGCTCGGCAGGAAGCAGCTCCTGGCACCCTGTGGATACATCAAGGTCATGGGCATCACAAATGAAACCCACCTGTGCCTACTCTGGGGGAGTCCTCTTGGGCCTGGAGGACATGATTACTTCAATTCTAAGGTCACATGCCTGTGATGACTAATGTCCTACTACAAAGGACTCATCTCCTGCCTACTTGTATGTCCATAAAACTGACGTGCGGTTCTGCATCAGAGAAGCCCTAGCTGCCTGCTAGTGACCTTTTCTCATCCCATCACCCCTCTGTAAATCAAACTCATACAGAGTGCCCAGGTGGTGTGTGGTCCCTTCCCAGGCCAGGGATGCTCACACCACATTTGACCACAGGAAGGCGATGGACATTTTGATTTTTTTTCTCCTGAAGAAAAGCCAAATGATGAAAAAATTACAATTAGAATTGAGTCTCATGGGAGATAAATTTGTATTCCTATATTTTTTACAGCATAGATATTCCCCTTTATTAAACAGAGACATAATTGTACATCATGTGCATGCCTGCTGCCACTGAGGTCAGAAGAGGACAACAGTTTCCCCAGGAACTGGTGTTACAGACAGTAACCAGAACTGCCATATGGTTCTGGGGACCAAGCCTGGGTCCTCTGGAAGAGCAGCTAGTGCTCTTAATCACTGAGCCCTCTCTCCAGCCCTTAATTCAAGGTTGCAAAAAGAATTTTGTTTATTTGGCTTTTACCAAAGTCAGGGATAGAGTGATAAGTTATGTTCCCTATCTCAAGTTGGAGAGAGTTCAGTGTATCTATAAACAGTAGTGTCTGATAATCTTTGTGATCAGACTGACTCAAAACTCAACAAAGTAACCCTCTGGAAATATAGGGGAGGTGGAGGAGACTCTCACGCCTTTGCCTTGTGATCTGGAGTTACAGACATTGATTTTAACAGCCCTGGTCATTGGACTTCATATTAATTCACAAAGGAACTCTGACTTTGCACCATAGTGATGGTGCAATGATGTTCCATGTTTTGTTTAGGTAGAGAGTCCTTTTCTTAACCCAGCTCAAGATTGCATATATCTTATTAAATACCATCTTGTTAAGCTGAGTGTGGAGGGACACATTTGATATCCCAGCACTTGGGAGGCCCACGCAGGAAGATTGCCATGAATTCAAAGCCAACCTGAGCTACCTAGTAGTCCAGGCCAGTCTGGACTATGTAGCAAGACCCTGTCTCAAAAAACTAACTAACCAATTAACTAACTAAAATGAATTAAATACCAACTTGTTTGTTTTTTTCTGTTATAGGGAAATCTCTTGACAATTTAACCCAGCTGACACATTTCTTTTTTCTTTTTTAAAAAATGTCTCTATGTGAGTGAAAACATGTGAGTGTAGGTGTCTTTGGAGTCCAAAAGAGGAATTCAGATGCCCTGTAGTTGGAATTATAAGTAGATGTAAATCTCCTGATGTGGGTATTGAGAACTGAACTCCTGTCTTCTGGAAGAGCATTATGCACAATTAACCCTTTTTAGTGGTGCACCACACCACCACACACTATACTACATACACACATCACACACCACACAACACAGATACATACAAGACACACACAGACACACACAACACACACATATCACACAATACACACACAGACACACATAATTTAAAAATAGTAAATTCTTAAAAAAAATCTAAATTCAAAGCTCTTCATTTTATCATCTACCCAGAGTCAATTTCTTCTAGATGTTTGTTTAATGTTTCTATATTAGGAATCATTTTCCACGATAGAGAAAACAGAAAAGCTGCGAGTTGCAAATGCTGCTTCTCCTTATCGTCTAACACGACACCATCTGCCACCAGCTCTGGGCTTCCCCTTCCTTGTCCGCAATCCAAAAGAAACAGCTTTAAAGCACTATTTTGCTGTCTGTAGAGAATCTTTTGCTTTTCTTTTCAAATTCAGATGCTCTGCTACATGGGTCTGCACCATCTAGTTATATTGGTACCCTGGATGACATAGGTCTGCACCATCTAATTAGATTGGTACCCTGGATGACATGGGTCTGCACCATCTAGTTAGATCGGTACCCTGGATGACATGGGTCTGCACCATCTAGTTAGATCGGTACCCTGGATGACATGGGTCTGCACCATCTAGTTAGATCAGTAACCTGGATAACATGTCCTTGCTTCCATCTTATGTGTCCTTCTGAATACCTTGCTCACAACAGACTTCCTATGTGTCACAGTGACTTCCCCTGCCACACATGGAACAAACACAAGATGAACTGAGCCACTTAATTTTCCTTTATCAGTAGAATAGTTGGTGATTTTATTGGCTCTGGTTCCTTTTTTTGGGGGGGGGGTTTCGAGACAGGGTTTCTCTGTGTAGCTTTGGAGCCTATCCTGGCACTGACTC